GAAGGAGCAATGAGCTTGTTCACCCTAGAAGAGCCTGCTTAGGCTTAGGACAAAATGCTTTAGGACTTTTTTTAAGGGGAAAGATGAGGTGAATAGCACCCTTTCAGGAGGAAAAGGAAGTGAAAATCTTCAACTTGGAGCTATGCCGGCTAGTGCTGGGTGGTGCAATGCTCCATTGTGGTGCATTCTCCACATCCACCTGCCAGCACCAAAATGCTGGCCATACCCTCTGTATCTCCTATCTTCCTACCTCAAAGCAAGGTCCAACATACCTACCACAACAGTCCCAAATGAGGCCTCAGAACCATCTCTTCAACAACCTCCCCCATCAGCAGGAGCTGCCTGTGCCCAAAAATGCTTGCTGCTTGTGAGGGTGACAAGCAAGCTGCACTTCGTGGCACAATGTGACCTGGAGGACAGGCAAATCTACACAGGCAGTTTCTGCTCAAAGATAACTCTCCTCCAGGTTCAGCTAAGCACTCCACGCTCACATTCAGACAGCTGGCACCACATGCTGTCAGCAACATGCCTGCATCTCTTTGGAAAATTCTCCGGTCCAGTACCAAAAGTCACAAGCAAGTAAGCAAAAATGGTACTGAAAGAGGGACTGACCTACTTTAAATGCACCCCAAAGCAAAATGAGCAAGTGATTTTCAAAATAAACACGGCAAAGAGGCTGTATAACAAATGGCACTTGAGATGAAGAGAAAAAAGGTCCTCCCCACCCCCTTTTTTTTCGTGTGTGAAGGAACGGAAGGGAAACTAATTGGCATACTTTCAAAGCAAAAACTGTTTGAACTTCAAAGCATCAAGTGCAAAACCAATCCATTTCTATAAAATGATGCTTATACAAAGGAGTTACCCGATTTCATCTACTACTGCTGTTACAAAAGCAGATGCTACTGACAGAACTCATAAATAGGATTGGCAAAGATGTCACTCTGCACGCTGAAATCTTAAGTTCAAACCACACATTGGATTTACACTCTCTCTGTGCTAAGAACTCAAGGACAGAAGCCACCTATGATTCAGCTTGCACTGTCAATTCAAAGCAAGTTGCAAGTGCTAAACTCCTTTCAGTTTCAGGTCCTCAGCAAGGATTACACAATTGCAAGACTGCCCGGGAAGGAAAAGGTAACCTTGTAAGATCCTAATTTATCGTTCTTACACAAAGAAACATGCCTGTAAGTTTTCTGTTATTTTTTTTTTGTTTCGGTTTGGTTTGGGGTTTTTTTTTGCGGGGGTTGTTGTTCTTGGTTTTTGGGTTTTTTTTAAATATTATTATGTTATTTAACCTTTGAAACTGAAAGGAAGCCTTAGGGATTTGGTTGGAAATACTTCCAGCTGCTCTTGACCATTTAATACATCTGCAATACGCCTACAGTCATAACATTGGACAGCTTCAACTCAAATAGTTACATGCTTTGGTGCAGTTAGGCAAGAGAGTGCCTAAGTAAAATTCCATAACTAAAATTCCAACAAAGAGAAATTCTTTTTTCATAATACGGCTGTGTTTCAAAAAAATTGTTACTGAATTTTATCTTCAGTCAAATACCATTTCTAGACTAATCCTGAATTCAGAAACTCTGCACCAAAAGATACAGCATAGCTTATATAAGGCTAACAAAAGGATTTAGTCTTTAAGGAACATAAAAGTTTAGAACCCAAAATTATTATAATCTTTTTCCATGGGAGTGCATAAAATAAACTTTCAGTTTAAATACACTCAGAACAAAATTCCAATACCTCTAATTGACCAATGTTGCAACCTTTTGAGAAGGAACAGATAGTTCTTCTAAAACAATGGCCAAATTTTCATCTTTGAGACATTTTGAACTCCAGTTATGTGGTACACACAAAATCCCCCTGTCAGAAATGGACTAAAAGGAAGGTGAACTAGCCAGGAATTCACCAGAACATAAAAATAGCTGTCCTGAGTCAGAATAAAAGCCTGTCTAGCCTAGAATACTGTCTCAGACACAGATGCCTCAAAAAGAATACAAGAATAGAGCGAACCTATATCAATGCTGTCAAAGAAAATTCTCCTAACATTCAGCAATTTCCAGTTCAATAGTTAGCATCTTCATGTTTAATTCGTCTTACTGGATTTCCTGAATGTAAACTTGCCTAGTTGCCCATTAAACCCGTGTAAGCTTTTCGTGTCCATAGTATCCAGCGGCCAGGAGTTCCGCCACTAAACTACACACGGCACTGAAATGGTTTTACCTCTTGTGGTTCATTTTTTGCTCACTAGCTTTGTTAGGTGGCCTGCAGAGTTTGCATCAAAGTAAACACAGCAAACATGTCTAACCAGGTGTTCCATTCATGCCACATGCCTCCAGAGACCTCTGTCTCAACCTCACCAAAGGATTTACTAGGGAACCAAAACAACCAAGAGGTTTCTTCTCTAAATTCAGTTTAGAATTCAGTTACCTAAACTGAATTTCCTCCACCATTTAAAGGCCCCAACAGTCCAAATAAGGGCTTTTTGCAACTCTTCATAGGCAACACTGTCTTTAAAACCCTCAATAATTTAGTGAGACCAGTAAATATCACTGTCAACCCCTTTATTTATAAGCATGTTGAGCAGCACTGACACCTGAACTGATCTCTGTGGAACTCCACCGTTGAAAGATGACTGCTTACTCCCACCCAAGCTTTCAGGCATTTAGTATTTTTCTTGGTAGCAGGACCTTCCTCCCTCTTCTCCTGTGACTCCTTAGTTGGTCATACAAGCAAGAATTACTGACTACGATGGCTTAGGCATTTGCCAGGCACACTTTGCAGATAGGGCACTTCTTCCAAAGGGGGACTCCCATATTTGGCAACATCTGTCCAAATGCAGGTCTTCGCAGTCTTGACAAAAGACATCGTCCAATCTCTGTATTTGTTAAAGGTATTTTAGGATAGTGTCTCCTGTTGGTTATTTTAGTATATTGTTTTGATTTACTGCATCTAAAGGGATCACATACCCACCATTTTCAGCCTCATCTGATACACATACCATCACTAACCTAAGCAATGAGTATTTTTTGGTAGATGTACTCAAAATCACCTCCAAAAATACAAGGTTGGAGACAAGGTTACCAAGATAAAACAGTATAGTTTAATATTACACTTAGGAACCAAGAGGATTGTTGGATCTCCCTTAGAGATTTGCCAAGATAGACCTGGGCTGTCAGATGGAGTCAGACATAAGCATCAGCTCTCTGGATGGTGGCTCTGAATGGATCTCAAAGCTATCCTTGGGACCTAAGGATCAAGATCCCATTGCCATACCCACTAGTGCAATTTTCCCTCAGAGCAGGTACCCCCCCTAGTTCTTCTCTCTCTGTTCCCTACCTCATGATCTTTGATTAAGATGGTTCTTATCTCCTGTTTTCTTTCTGCTTTTGTTTTAAATCTTATTTCCTAGTTCTATCCAACAGTAAAGCAGACTCTACACTAGTTGGGCGTGGTTATCTTCCTTATTCAAACCTTTTGTTAGGGTTTCAGCACCTACTGTTTCACCTTGCAAGGTAGAAAACCCACTGTACCCCAGCTTTCAATAATTCTCCCTTCCTCAGACAGGAGAGTTCACATTTTAAAACCCCTTCCCAAGCTACTCAAAAAAACCTCATGAGGTATCGCCAATACAGACTATTCTTAAACAAAGTCCACAGTCACCAGCACTCATGCTTACACAATTCTAGACAGACCACATATATTTATCCAGGTGACAGAGCTGGTATCAACTGCTGTTATTCAGCAGTTCACACTCTTTTGTCAATTCCAGACACAAAACTGACACAACAGTATTTCCTCCTCTACATTTTTATGTTTCTGCATAGCTGTACAGTGAAGTCAAGTACAAATGTGGCGAGCGTAGATAAAACTATGCCTATTTAAATCTAGTTAGTGTGAGGAGCAATAGTTGCAAAAAGGTAGCAGCAGATGCTGAAGACCTGGCCAGCAAGCCAAGAATGATACTATATTGTATTTCAACAGCCTTTCCTGCCCCTATCAGTTACAGTATGGGTATGCTTCGTAGCAGTAACTTTCATTGCATTCCTCTTCTGAAAAAATACTGTACCAAGGCAACTATGTTATTACCTACAAATTTCCCACAATCATCCAGGATTTTAATACTCTTATCACTGGTAAAATTAAAAATTGCTATTTGTTACCTACTGGCTTACAGATTTAATTCGTCTACTGTAAACCCTTAAAAAAAGCTATCATTTCCTACTCTTTTTTTTTTTTTTAAAATGTTATATTCTACCCACATGAACCAACAGCTGCTTGTAGGGAGCAAAAATCGCACATGAAATATAGGCGACAGCGTTTTGCACTGGACTTCAGTTTAAAAAAAAAACTGAACACTTGGGACCTCTAAGTTGCCAGGCAGAAGCATCGGGGCAGCAGTGCAGAATTCATGAATGAACACAGACCAACCAGCTCGCTCGCCTGCACCACTCTCCAGTGAGAAGATTCTGCTTACAGAGAGGCCTATTCACAGGCTCCTGCCGCCGGTGGGAGCTTTGTCGGTGCGAGGTGTAAAGGTGCCGATCACGGCGATAACGGTAAAAGGTCTGGTATGCAGGGAGGCTGCGAAGAAGCTGGCATTTTAGTGCTCTCGCAGCGATGCCTACCATTCAGCTGATACAGCCTTAGGTCCAGAGTCTGCAAATACACAGGTAACCTGACTTAACGTAAGGCTGCTCGTGTGGACCAGCACTCCGCCTAGATGGACGGATGCCCTCTCCTGAAAATCACCCGTTTTCTTTGGGGGATGCGCACAGCTCGGCTGCCGGCAGGCGTGATTTTCCTTCGAAAGCCCTACATGCTGGGGAGAGCCACCTGGCTCTCCCGACGCCGTGCACACACACCAAAGTTTTACCGCTCGACGCAGTGCCGACGGGGAGGGGGGGGTGTCAGCCCCGGCCCCGCCGCCCCGGGCGGGAAGTGCCCGTCCCCGCCACCGCCCCGTCCCATCCCGTCCCGTCCCGCCGCCGTCTCACCGTCCCAGCTCCGACTCCAGCTCGAAGTAGTGGGCCAGGGTGTCCTTGTTGGAGCCGTCGATCCAGTAGTCGGGGGCGGCAGACCCGGGGCGGCCGGCGGCCGAGGAGCCGGAGGAGGAGGATGAGGAGGAGGATGAGGAGGAGGAGGAGGAAGAGGAGGAGGGCATGGTGACTTTCAGCATGCCGGGACGCCTGCCGAGGGCTGTCCCCTCCTCCGCGCCGGCTGCGGAAAGCAAAGCGACAAGGCGGCTGGCGGCACCTCACCTCACCTCCCTTGCTTCCTTCCTTCTTCCCTCCCTCTCTCCTTCCTTCCCTCCCTCCCTTCCTCCCTCCCTCTCTCTCTCTCTCCCCTCCTCCTCTTCCTCCCCCCGCGCCACGCCGGGCCGGGCCGGGCTGGAGCGGCGGCGGCGTGGGCGCCGGCCCGTTCCGCTGCACCATTTTTGCCCGTTCTAGAGCTGGGATCGGTTGTCAAGGCGCGCCGGGATATGTCGCTCGGCGTTTGCGGCGGATTTGGGGAGGAGGGCGTGGAGGCAGAGGCTGAGCAAGACAAATAGCGGTGGGAAAGAGGGCTGACAGATGCTCAAACATGACTGCAAAAAAAAATAAAATAATAATAAAAACAAAAAAAAAATATAGCTTCCCTTCCCACCACCACATAAAAAAAAAAAAAAATGCCATGCTGCAAAGCCACTCTTAGCTGGTAATGAAATGTGCAGCTTATGAAGTGAATATCATTATAATAAAGTATATTGTATCCCTGGCTGTAAAAAACCTTAGCCAGAAGAGTCTATATAAGGGCAGTTTCTGTTGGTGTAGCGGTGAAATAAAACAGCAGCAGTTGCGTGGGCC